AGTCTTGGAGGTAAGAAGTATATACTAGTATGCGTTGATGATTTTTCTCGTTTTGCTTAGGTTATGTTTCTCAGGGAAAAATCCGAAGCGCTTGAGGCATTCAAGACACTGGGATTAAAACTTCAAAAAGAAAGAAACTAATCCATCAGTAGAACTCGAAGCAATCACGACAGAGAATTCGAGAACAAGCTGTTCGATAACTTTTGTAATCAATCAGGGATTACACATGAGTATTCAGCTCCAAAAACTCCAAAACAAAACGGAGTTGTGGAAAGGAAAAATCGCACCATCCAGGAGATGGGTAGAGTGTTGCTCAACGCCAAAGGATTACCACAAAAAGTTCTGGGCGGAGGTTGTAAACACCGTGTCACATCATCAACAGAGTTTACCTACGACCGGGCACAACACAAACTCCGTATGAACTCTGGAAAGGTAAGAAACAGAACATTACTTATTTTCACATTTTCGGCTCACGTTGTTTTATCTTGAAAGATAGGAATCCGACTTCTAAATTTGAACCGAAAAGCGACGAAGGAATTTTCCTCGGATATTCCACCAACAGCAGAGCCTATCGAGTATATAATAAAGTGACCAAAATCATAATGGAGTCCACAAACGTCGTCATTGATGATCAACCCAGTGAGATTACTGAAGTTGTCCAAACTGATCCAGTGACAGAACCTGAAACTGACCGACCTAAAATTCCTGACGCTGGTACTCCAGAACCAGACCTTGAGTCACCTATCTCATCGCCCATATGCAATCAACCCGAATCTGAACCTGAGACAGAATCAGAAAATGATCATGATGATATTGATATTCCAACTCGTATTCAGAAAAATCATCCGATCCAAAATATAATTTTAGATCCCAGTTCAGGTGTGAAAACTCGAGGTAAACCAAAGCGCGACTATCTTGAACTAGCTGGATACTCTTGCTATACGTCGCAGATTGAACCAAAGAATATCAAAGAAGCCTTAACTGATGAACACTGGATCAAGGCCATGCAAGAAGAATTGGGACAATTCGAAAGGAACAAGGTATGGACTCTAATCCCTAAACCGAATAATGTAAATGTTGTAGGTACAAAGTGGATTTTTCGAAACAAGACTGACGCAACCGGCAATATCGCTCGAAATAAAGCAAGACTAGTCGCTCAAGGGTATTCCCAAATTGAGGGAATCGACTACGATGAAACGTTTGCTCCAGTGGCTCGCCTAGAATCCATCTGATTGCTACTCTCCATTGCCTGTGCTTTAAAGATCAAGCTCTTTCATATGGATGTTAAAACAGTCTTTCTAAACGGCTATCTCACAGGGATATATATGTTGCCACAACCGAAAGGGTTTGAAGACCCGCAACATCCAGAATATGTATACAAGCTTGAAAAAGCTCTATACGGGCTAAAACAAGCTCCAAGAGCCTGGTACGAAAGACTTGCACAATATTTACTTCAAAATGATTACAAACGAGGAGGTTCGGACAAAACCTTGTTCATAAAACGATCAGGTAAACACATAAGCATTGCACAAGTTTACGTTGATGATATTGTGTTTGGGTCCACACAGACAGGTGAAACGGACAAACTGGTCAAAGTTATGCAACAAGAGTTCGAAATGAGTATGATCGGAGAGCTGACGTATTTTCTAGGATTACAGGTCAATCAGTCAAAAGAAGGGATATTTATTTCTGAAGCGAAGTATGCGAAAAATCTCATATCAAAATTTGGTCTTGAATCTGCGAAAGATGCCCGGACACCCGTCTCAACAACTACAAAATTATCTAAAGACAATCAAGGAACTTCCGTTGACTACACATTGTACAGGAGTATGATTGGTAGTTTACTGTACCTAACTGCTAGTAGACCTGACATCATGGTAAGTGTTGGTATGTGTGCACGCTATCAAGCAGATCCAAAGGAATCGCACTTGAAGGCAGTCAAACGTATTATAAAATACGTTAAAGGTAAAATAAATTATGGTATTTGGTATTCCACTGATACTAATCTCAGTCTTACAGGTTTTAGTGATGCTGACTGGGCTGGTAACGCCGAACATAGAAAAAGCACATCCGGAGGATGCTTCTTTATCGGGAAAAATCTGGTTGCCTGGCTGAGTAAAAAGCAAAATTCAATCTCGCTCTGCACTGCAGAAGCTGAGTACATAGCTGCAGGCAGTTGTTGTACACAGTTGCTTTGGATGCGTCAAATGCTGTCCGATTACGGGTTTGATTAGAAAAATATGGTCCTCTTCTGCGACAACACGAGTGCGATCAATATATCTAAAAATCTGGTACAACACTCCCGGACGAAGCACATAGACATCCGTCATCATTTCATCCGAAACTAGTTGAAGAAAAAGTAATTAAGTTAGAATACATTCCAACTGACAAAAATCTTGCAGATTTATTCACGAAACCATTAGACAAATCCAGGTTTGAACTACTTCGTGCAGCCCTCGGAGTTTGTACGATTAATGTCTAAATTCTCCAGCAGGTATTTTTTTTAATTTATTTTTTATTTTTGGACTAACTGATTAATTGGTTTACGTGCGTGTTTTCTGTTACCAGAGACAAAGGGATACAAATTTGTTTGGGTTTCATTAATCTTTCCGATCTTATTTATGTATATATGAATTACTAATTTTCCCTTGGAATGTTTTATTTTTTTCGGATATCTTATGCTTGCATCTAGAAGACCAATTCTAGTCAAACACCATCAAACTCTCCTTTTTCCACTCATCTACTAACCTATAAATATCATTATATCTATCCTAGCCATCAATATCTCACGCCTTTTCAAGCTACACATCAAATCAACCCATTACTTTTTGTCTCTCTTGGTCTTCCTCTCAACCCGAGATCACCACCATCATCTTCATCTCTTCACCTTCCACCATTTTTTCTCTCTACAAGCTTCACCCATGGAAAATCCATTTCTCATCTACATGACTCGATTAGAAAGAGCAAACCTTTTTCGAAAAATCATTGATGTCGAGTCTCCCTTATCTCCTGAAGCTACCGATAAGGTTCTTGCCACAATAAAATCAGATGGGTTTCTACTGGAAAGGCTCACGGACAAAGAAAAGAGGCAAATGCTTGCTCTAGCTCGCCATATCTCCGCCACACCTTAGCCGTTTCCACCTGTGTCAGCCGCTGTCCCAGATTCCACTCTTCCCGGTCCAGCGTCTCTTGCCTCATCTCAGACAGTGGTACTCCCTGCCCTTTCTTCGCCTTTAAACACATCTAGAAAAATTGATTTTGATGTATCTCTGCCTGATCAATTTGTGTCTCCCATATCTCATGATGTTTTTGATGTTCAAACTCTGTCTGTACCTGGTGATCCTTATGATCCTTTGTCTCACAATTTACCTAGGGAAAATGTTGATTTAGTTGCTTTATCTGACCTAGTAAATTCTTTGCCATTTGCGTTTTCCATTCGAAATGTTGCCCAACATGTGTCTGTTCCAACCGTGGCTTGTTCGGCCTTTTCTATTCCCATTACTATTGCTGCGTCTAAAAGTCACTCTGATCCTGTACCCATTCCTGTTTCATCTACGCAAGAATCGGTTCCCATTATCTCTGTTCCTATTGCTAAATCTTCCCGAAAGGGAAAGGAGAAAATCTCTGTTTCAGGTACTGCAGAAAAGAGAGGATTGTCACAGTTGGATGATGTTGAAACTCAAACTGATCATAAACTTCAACGGAAGGGTTCCACATTGCCACCCAGAACCACTTGGTCAAGAGCCCAAGTTGACACACATGCTGTTCCTACGCCATCTGGCTCCAAATCGAAAGGATCAAGCAAGGTCTACAAACCGCATCTTCTGTCTCCCGATTTATTTGTTGTTTGGAAAACTCATGTCAACCGGGTTTTCATCGTCGAAAAATCCATCAATGAAGAGGATTTGGCTGCCAAGTGCAATATTATCCCGCTGTTACGTGATCAAAATTTGCTTGCCTCTCTACGCCATATTGGTCCCTACTCTACATGGTTGACAGCAGAATTTTACACAAATTTGACCTTGGACACATTCAATGAAGGCTAGCACGATTTCATCAAGTTTTCATTCGTGGCACTTGGTATCCTTTCGGGCCTACTGAGATTAATGCATATTTGGGCACACCAAATCATCCTGCTTCTCCGGATCCTAGTCCTCACTTGTTGGCAACTGCACTCACTCATAATAAAGTGGTTTCATGGCCGAGTAATGGAATTTCAAGCTTGAAGCTCACAACTGTCTACTCCGTGCTTCTTCGCCTTGCATCGGCGAATTGGGTCCTGGCAGTCCGTCGCCATCAAGTACCAGAACATCTAGCTGGCCTTCTATACAAAATCAGGAACCGTCTTCCGTTCAACCTCGGCATGGTTATATTCTCTCACTTAATGTCTTTTTTGCAGAAGAAAGAAGCCAAAGTCCATCTCCCTTTTCCGTGTTTGATTTATGGGGTGCTTCAAGACCATGGTTTTATGCCCTATAAGGAAGAAGTGATTACAACTCCTGACAATGCTTACATTTTTGATGATCGACTTACACAACGAGGTCATTATGATGATCGAGCTTCACTTGATCAGCTTCCTGCTATTCCACCTCCAGCGCCAGCCTCATCTACTGACACTACGTCAGCTTCTCGTCCAGGCTCAAGACTGGTTCCCAAAGAACCCCCAACATTGGTTGATCGTAGGCAGATTGTGCTCACTCTTGAGGCCTCTATTGCACAAGTTCAACAATCGGTCACCCCTCAACAAGCAACCATCTCTGGCCTTGTAAAGCTTCGTGATGCACAGCTCGAAGAAACCTCGCTCGCATAGAAGCTATTCACGCTCGGGTTTTAGCTGACACTGGAGCTGCTTCCTCGGATTCTGACTCCGAAGATGAAGAAGATGATTCAGACTCGGGCACCCCGTCTGCACGATAAATCTAATCCACTATTTGATGTTCACCTTCCTTTGTCATTTATTTGGCAAAAGGGGGAGTAAGGATTAAGGAGTAAAGGGGAGTATGGGGGACTATTCTACTTTTTTGGATGACTATGGTACGGTTTTATTGGCTATTTTGGAAGGGCTATTTTTGGAAGTGCTATTGCTAGTCAGTATGGTAATAATGGACTTATATTAGTTAGGGGGAGTAATAGTAGTGTTTGATGCTCCTAACTATCTGTATGGATATTTTTGGTATGGTATCTCGCATCACAAGTTAATCGGTGTTATGGTATGCTATGATTTCAACGCTTCTGTGTGTGATTCAAGAATTGAAGATTTTTTCAATTAGATTCTCTATTCACAAGTGGTCCAAAAGAATTTAATTTTTTAATTATTTTCTAAATGTCTATGATATGTAAAGTACATATATTAAGGGCTATAAATAAAATTTAAATTGATTTTTGCCCAAAGTAATTGATACTCAAGTTTTCCAAATAAAATGCCAAAGGGGGAGATTGTAAGTGTAAAATAAATTTACACGATTGGCTATTTTATTGGCTTTACTAGATTTAAATTAAAATAGTGTTGTTAGTGTTAATTCTTTTATGGACCATGTGAGTAGATAATTAGTGGCCATCATGGATTGTTTATTTGAGTCTACGGTGAAGCAATCAAAGAACAAAATGAGTGGCTGTGGCTTATTCGAACAGTGGAAGATTAAGGAAGAGGCTACATTTGAGGATCAAACAAAAGACTCATGAAGCACTATAAAAGCATACTGTGATGGTGTCTTTGATCAGCCAGCTTTGCTCTTTGTTCGGATCAGTAAGTAAGCAGTTTTGGTTCAGCTAACAGCTTTTAGGGGTCAAGGGCTTTTTGGTCTTTTCCTGTTAAGATGGCAGTTATAACTGCCATCTCTTCCTCTCTCCTTTTATAAGGCTGTAATCTTCTTTTTCTTCTGAAGTTTTCCTCTCCAATAATACAACATGCTGAGCTTCTTACCATAGATGAACTTTGTCACTTTCACCATGAGTTAATCTATCTTAACACGGTATCAGGGCGCCGGAGCTACGCCGATGTGGTGATGACAGAAAATCAGAATGGAAATTCAGTCGGAGCTTTTTCGAGCCAAAGTCCAGCTCAGATGAACATGAATTCGAGTCCAAATCATGCTCAAAGAGCTGCTGATGAATTCGATGATCCATGGTACCTGCATATTACAGAAAATCCTAACCTGATCCTGGTGTCTCCACCACTGTCCGAGGTGAATTATGCGTCCTGGAGCAGATCAATGAAGATAGCTCTTGAAGTCAAAAATAAATTTGGATTTGCAGATGGATCCATATTGAAACCTGAGATAAATGATCCGAAGTATACTATTTGGAAGAGATGCAACAACATAGTGTGCTATTGGATCTTCAAATCGCTGAGTCCTACGATTGCAGAAGGAGTTTTATACCTTGAAGTTGCATCGGATGTCTGGAATACTCTGAAGAAGAGGTATTCTCAGGTTGATTCACACAGGATTGCTGAATTGCAGAATGAGATCTTCAAATGTTCTCAAGGTAATCTCACAATTAATGAGTAGTTTACTAAAAGTAATGCATTATGGGTTCAAATGAATGCAATGAGACCTATTCTTGCCTGTGAGTGTGTGCCTAAGTTTACTAGAAGGATTGAATGAAGAATATGAGAATATCAAATCCGGAATTCTAGTCATGGAACCTATTCCAGCCATGGAAAAAGTTCTCAATATTACTTTAAAGATGGAAAGGAAGCTCAGGAATTCTCTTAGTCAGAAGAACAATGATCTAGTTCAAGCTAATGTTGTTCAAGGTGGTGGAGATCAGAGTGCAGATGATCAACCTGTGGTTTCAGCCTTAAGCAACAACAACAAGAAGAAATACAACAGTGGAACAGGGAAAAATGTGCCTAAATGCATTTTTTTGTGGAATGATTGGACATACTATTGAGAAATGCTATAAGAAGCATGGATATCCCCCAGGTTGGGTAGCAGGTTATAAGTCTAAGAATAAACAACAGCCTCAAGATGCTCAGCAGGTCCACAATGCTTCTGTGAACCAAATTGGTGATATAGGCCTCACTAATGATCAGTTTCAAAGGCTATTGTCATTGTTGCAGAATCAGAATCAAGGAAGTCAAGCATCAACTAATGCAACTGTGACTGTCAACACTACTGGACTGAGACCAGAATTCAGAAATCCCATGGAGAAACATCATGAAGGCAAGTTTATCTCTAACCTTCATGTTAGTAGTGCTTTAATTTCCTCCACCATTTGGATTCTAGACTCAGGAGCCACTGACCATATACATGCTCCTTAGAATACTTTGAAGCATACAATTCTGTTCAGGGAATGTCTGTTAAGTTACCAAATGGAGAAATGTTGAGTGTATCACATATAGGACAAGTCAAGTTGCATAAAAAGATATTGTTGCAGGATGTCTTACATATTCCCTCCTTCACTTTCAACATTATATCTGCAAGCAAGTTAGTGAGACAATCAGGCTATGAAATCATTATGAAACCTAACTCTTGCACCATTCAGGGACATCTTGGGAGAATGGATGGTTTTGCTAAGGAAAGAGATGGATTATACATACTTTCTGATCCACCTATGAAGAGGCAGATGTGTGGTGCGAATGAAGAATCTGATATACTTTGTAATGGTTTTTCCCTGCAATTGTGGCATGATAGATTAGGGCACTTTCCCATAAATAAAGTGCAACTATTAAAGTGAATAAAACTTGCATCTTCTTCTAAACCTGTTGATTTTATCTGTGAGACATGTTATTTTGCAAGACATAAGAGATCTATTTTCCCTGTCAGTGTTACTAGAGCTGAAAGATGTTTTGATTTATTACACATGGATGTTTGGGGCCCCTTTGCTGTGCCATCTCTCAAAGGGGAGCATTATTTTTTGACTATGGTAGATTATCATAGTAGATTTACTTGGTTGCATCTAATAACACACAAATCGGAAGTAAAGACCATATTTCAGAACTTTTACAATATGGTTTGCACTCAGTTTTCAGCAAAAATTAAGGCTGTCAGAACAGATAATGGAAGTGAGTTCATAATGACCACATTTTTCAATGAAAAAGGAATAATACATCAGAGATCATGTGTGTACACACCCCAGCAGAATGGGGTGGCTGAATGAAAATATTAACATATTCTGAATATAGCCAGAGCCTTGAAATTTCAGTCTGGATTGCCTGATGATTTTTGGGGCCACTGTGTCCTACACTCCTCTTATTTGATTAATAGACTTCCTACTGATGTTCTAAATGGTAGCACTCCATTTCAGATATTGTTTGGGAAGGATGTGGATTATGAGCATTTCAGATCCGTTGGTTGTTTAGCATTTGCTGCAACTATTTCACCAGGGAGGAACAAGATGGGATCCAAGGCCTCAAAGTGCATATTCTGAGGTTTTCCTGCTAATGTCAAAGGCTACATGTTATATGATGTTATTAACAAAGTTACTTTTGTTTCTAGGGATGTCAAATTCTATGAACATGTTTACCCTTTCAGAGACAAAAATCTAGATGTCAATAAGCCTGCATCAGAGTTGTTTAATCCCACCTTGCCTCTTGTTCCCATTTCTGTTGAAGCAGATGCTAGTTCTTTAGAGCCAACAAGAGGACATGTTATCCCTGCAGCCACATCTCAAAGTTGTGACAACAACTCTGATGAGATAACCAGTAGAGCTCTGTTGAATGATGATGATATTCACTCTGGTTAGACAGCCATTTGATGAATGGTCAGTCACCAAACCTCTTTGTTGAATTACCCTCTCTTAATACATCAGATGAGGTTGATAGGCAAGCTCAATCTGATAACATTCCACAGCCAAGAAGATCATCTAGAACAAGAAATGTTCCATCAAAGTTGCAGGATTACCTGTGTCAATCTACCATGATGAGAAGTAGTTTTAGAACCTCACCACACTCTATGGACAAGTTTATCTCCTATGATAACTTGTCACCCAGCCATAGATTGTGTGCATCATCTATTACCACTTCACATGAACCTCAAACTTACAAAGAGGCAGTTAGAAGTGAAGAATGGAGGAAAGCAATGCAAGATGAAAAAAAGTCCTTGGTTCAGAATGATACATGGCTATTGACAGATCTGCCAGCAGGAAAGACTCCCATTGGCTGTAGATGCGTGTACAAAATTAAACACAAATCAGATGGTTCTATTGAAAGATATAAGGCCAGGCTAGTGGCAAAGGGATATACTCAACAATTAGGTGTTGACTATATTGAAACTTTTTCTCCTGTGGCAAGAATGACAACAATCAAAACTTTTTTGGTTGTGGCTGTGGCAAAAGGATGGGACATCCAACAACTTGATATTAACAATGCTTTTCTTCATGGGGATTTGCAGGAGGAAGTGTATATGGTTGTGCCACCAAGTTTTCAAACTGATAAGCCCAATCAAGTTTGCAAACTGCTGAGATCTTTATATGGATTAAAACAGGCTAGTAGACAATGGAATGCCAAATTAACTAAAGCATTGCAAGACAATGGTTTCAGACAATCATCTGCTGATCCTTCTCTGTTTACCAAGAAAACTTGTGATTCTTTCATTGCTTTGTTGGTATATGTTGATGATATCCTGGTTGCAGGAACATGTTCTGTTCAGATTAAAGAATTGAAACAATTTCTGGACAACTCTTTCAAGATCAAAGATCTTGGTCCATTAAACTACTTTCTTGGCATTGAAGCTTTCAGATCCTCTAAGGGTATCAACATCTGCCAGAGGAAGTACACTCTTGAGATCCTTGAAGAAAATGGCTTCCTGGAAGCCAAGCCTGCTAATACTCCTTTCAATGCAGGTCTAAGACTTCATAGTTTGGATGGGGTTTTGCTTGAACAACCTGAAGTTTATAGAAGATTGGTTGGCAAGCTTTTGTACCCGACAAACACTAGGCCAGATATAACATTTGCAATGCAACAGCTTAGTCAGTTTGTGGACAAGCCTAGAGATACTCATTTGGTTGCAGCTCATAGAGTGTTAAGATACTTGAAGGGTTCTCCTGGTAAAGGCTTTCAAATTCAAGGTTTTTCTGACTTTGATTGGGCAACATGCATAGAGAACAGAAAATCCATAACAGGTTACTGCATTTATGTTGGGCATTCCCTAGTTTCATGGAAAACAAAGAAGCAGGCTACTATGTCTAGATCATCTTCTAAGGCTGAGTACAGAGCCTTGGCTTCCACAGTGTGTGAGATACAATGGTTGTTATACCTATTGGCAGATTTACAAGTTGAAATCAGTAATCCTGTGGCCTTGTTTTGTGATAATCAATCAGCAATTGCAATAGGAGAAAACCATGTTTTCCATGAGAGAACAAAACATATAGAGATTGACTGTCATGTAGTCAAGCAAAAGGTCCAAGAAGGGGTGATCAAATTGCTAAGCATCTCATCACAGAATCAGAATGCTGATGGATTCACTAAACCCTTGCCTAAACCAGCTTTTGATTTCTTCCATTCTAAGCTGGGCCTACAAGATCTTCATGCTCCAGCTTAAGGGGGGGGGGGGGGGGGGGGGGGGTGATGGAGTGTCTTTGATCAGTCAGCTTTGCTCTTTGTTCAGATCAGTAAGTAAGCAGTTTTGGTTCAGCTAACAGCTTTTAGGGGCCAAGGCCTTTTAGGTCTTTTCCTGTTAAGATGGCAGTTATAACTGCCATCTCTTCCTCTCTCCTTTTATAAGGCTGTAATCTTCTTTTTCTTCTGAAGTTTTCCTCTCCAATAATACAACATGCTGAGCTTCTTACCATAGATGAACTTTGTCACTTTCACCATGAGTTAATCTATCTTAACATACTGCTCGAATGGAGACATTGCCAATTCGATTCTTACACATTGCGAGAGCTATCCTGATTTTACAAAGCTGTTTTATGATTTAATGTGATTTATGATTTAATTCTTAAAAGTATTTAAACCGTACTACATGATCAGTACGTGGTACTGCTGAAGCAACTTGTGAAGATTGTTCGGGTATTCGTGTGTCAGTCCTGGATAGGTGTTAGAAAGAGTGGTAGTGGTAAAGGCTTGAGGCCATCTTCATTTACCTCTTGTAATACTCCTTTTGGTGAACATCTATAGTGGATTGGGCAGACGTGGGTTGCCCCGCAGACGTAGGAGAAGGAGCTCCGAACTGCGTAACAATTTCTTTGTGTTTTTAATTTACTTTATGCTTTCTGCAGTTATTATTTATACTTGCGTAAACGAGTTTAATTAATTAACTAAATTGGTGCATAACTTAATTAACAAGTAAAAACACATAGCTTTTATGTTTCAAGTGTCACGGTGCAATTTCATATAAGAAATTATGATGAACTTTAATTTTAGGTATTAAATTAAATTATATTTCGAATGAGGATAAATCTTCTGTGAGACCGACTCCCAAATCCATTTCGGTGAGACGGATCGGGCCATGATGAAAATGTAATACGTACTAATAAGGAATAAAATGTTTATTACTTATATTGGTGCCTATGCGGCTGCACCGACCACAAGTTATGGTGCGACCGCATTTGAGCTAAACTCTATATAATAATAATAATAATAATAATAATAATAATAATAATAATATTATTATTATTATTATTATTATTATTATTATTATTATTATTATTATTATTATTATTACTATTATTATTATTATTATTATTTTAATATACATCGCATTATACTATATACGATAAAATATTTGTTGTAATTTTAATTAATGTGTATTACAGTATTTTTTAAAGTATAACTCATACATATATGAGAATGTTTATAGTGCCATTTGAATGAGTTTGTCTAATACTGAATTAAATTACAGTTGGCAATGGTGTTCGTTACAATAGTTTGTAGTCTGTTTTAACCATATCCATTCTCTCATAGACAATTATTTACTTTTTGTTCACATTTTAGTTTATAATGTTTATTCCTCTACATTTGTCAGCATGAGTTGTCAATTAGTAGTTTTTTTTTTTTTTTTTTTTTTTTTTTTTTTTTGTAAAATCTAAACGGATAGGGAAGATTACTTGAATTTGATGAGATAAGTAGGATTACAGCTAGCAATTCGATATAAATGTATTATTTGTGTACTAATTACTTGAATTTGATAACATGATTCAGATTACGTTGAACAATTCGATATGTATGTAAGGGTTTTGGAATCAGCTATTATCTCCCCTAACACGTCTCTCATGCCCACTGCTCGCTGCCACGATATTCCTCTAATTGCCCACCCCCGACGGTGTCACTTCCCCTGCCGCCGACGAGCCGCTGTACTTCTCCGCCGACGGCGTCGCTTCCCCTGCCGTCCACGAGCCATTGCACCTCTCCGCCGACGGCGTCGCTTCCCCTGCCACTCACTAGTCGCTGCACTTCTCCAGAGGTAGTCGCTTTCCCTGCTGCCTACTCCGGTACGTTGATACTTTATCATCGGTTTTCTGTTTGTAAATCTACTGTGTTTTACATTAGCCACGAGCCGCTGACGCTTACTTACATATGATGTTGTTTTCATCGCATAAATTATGTTTGTCCTGAACTTTTTTCTTTTAGACCATTGTGTTAATTTGTTTCGTATGGAACTGTGCATTCTTATTTGTTTCATCTACGAGTCTGCTTAGCCAAGTGCTTTAGAGTTTATTTGCCTCCATCTAAGAGTCTGCTTCACATATTTTGTATGGAACTGTGTTTTACATTACCCGTTACTTTTGTTTCTTCTCATTGACTTATTCCCAACACCTAGCCATATTTCTCTCACAATAAAAGAATAAACCTTCTTCTTGACTAGGACAATTTCTTGTACTAAAACCAGTACAACTTGCTACTGGTTACAGTGATTTAGAAACATAACAATACAAGTTTTTTTTTCTAGCGTGATGTCTCTTTCTATACAAGAGGCATACTGTGTGTTAGATGAGACTGAAAACTAATGTACCATACAAAAAAAAAATGTATTACTTTCCTTTGGTTCCTCGACTGCAGAGGTTGTATGCATCTAATGCAGCAATTGATACGAAGTGGCAAACAAATTCAGTTGAAGATGGAATCATGTGTCATCCCTCAGATTCGCTTTCTTGGAAGCATTTTAACGACATTTATCCTGACTTTGCATATGAAATTTGAAATATCTGGTTAGGTTTGTGCACCAATGGTTTTCAACCATTTGGACAATCAGGACAACAATATTCCTCATGGCCTATGATACTAACAACGTACAACTTGCCTCCTTGGATGTGTATGAAGGAGTAGTATATGTTCTTAACCGTATTGGTTCCAGGTACAAACAATCTAAAAGAGAAGATATATGTTTTTTTACAACCTCTTATTGCGGAGTTAAACCAATTATGGGACAGTCTGTGTTCAAATATATGATATTTCAAAGAAGCAGAATTTTCAGATGCGAGCTACCCTTATGTGGAGAGTTAGTGATTTTCCTGCATATTCGATGTTATCCAGGTGGAACACTACTAGGAGGTTAGCTTGTCCATATTGCATGGATAAGTCAGATGCTTTCACCTTAAAACATAGTGGTAAGCAATCGTGGTTTGACAATCATCGAAAATTTTTGCCACCCAATCATCCATTTTGCAGGAATAAGACAACGTTCTTTAATAACAGAGCGGTTACAACTAAGGCACAGCTTCTTCGGTCAGGATATGATATCCTTGCAGAGATTGAAACTTTAGGCCTTAAGAAGGTCACTAAATTGGATGCAGCTGAAGTTAAT